ACACCTCAGTTGTCTTCAGGACCTTCACAGGAGGGAATAGATGTTATCTTCTTCCCTGGGGAAGGAATTCTGACAACCCTCTTCATTTCTTCCCATTTCACATTTGTGAGCCTCTCAAATCCCAGCAGCTTCATCACAGTCTATAAGAATGGGTCTGGCCCAGTGCACCCCACACAGCCCCCTCTTTTGGAGCTCTGGGTCCCTTGCTTTCTCTGTGCGGTTTGTTTTGTTTTAACTAATGGTTCTTTCTTAGCACCGTCAAGCTTTCCTGCCCATGTCTACCCTCTCTACTACTCCACAGTCCTTTACTTCCGAGGGCAGAACGTTCTTCAGCCAAAAGACTGCCCCCACTAGAAGTCACTCACTTCACAAACCAATAAGTTTTTAAATGTTCCTAAGACCCTATCAACTCCAGGGAGCCAAGGTACCATCTGTCTTGCTTCTAGTGGTGACCTTACAAGTCTTTCCTTGGGAAAAGTCCGAAGAAGGGGTGCAGTAGGGGAACCAACGTGGCTAGGTGATGTTTCTTCAGGAATGAGGGACATAAAAGAGGGAGCCTGAGAGTACTGGAGAGAATGAGAAAGAGGGCAGACTCGTACTCATCTCAGAACGACCAGATAGTCTCCCCGGTGGACAGACAACTGTCAGCTGAAAGGTAGGATACAGTAAGTTCTGGCCAGACTTGCAACTCAGCCCTGCAGAGGCTTTAACCAGGGTATCTGGGGATCCCCTCTGGCACTATGGGACTTAGGGCAGTGCCTTAACCCCAAGGTTGCCAGGACACCAGAGGTTTTTGGCAAACTGAGGACTTTCCATAGAGGCTTGACATTTCCTTACCCTGAGGTTGGAAGGGCATTAGGTGCAGGCATTAGCTAGGATACCGGAAGCTACACATAGCACAGAGATAGGCCTGTATCAGGCAGGCCCAAGCCTGGGATGCCATAATAGGTAAAGACTACCTGAAGATAGCAACAGAAGGACCTGAGGCCATGGCCCTCAGAAAGTAAGTGGAGACTCAGGCAGTAATGCTGCTCTTGAAGGCACCATGAACTCAGAAGTTGTGTGTGTGCGTGTTGTGTGGCTTTTCTAAATGTGAATAAACATGTGAATAAACCCCTGATAGGTCATTGACAACAGATTAAAAATATGGTTCCTCCCAAATCTAGCCTAGTGAGACAATGAGTTTATTGATGTTACAGGAGCACAGGTGAGTCAAAGGCAGGTGCTTCACCAAAAGGCCGACCCCAGCATGGGTGATGACCCACAGATGGGACACACCAGGAGCGCTCTGAGCGACTCTCAGGCAGCTGCAGTGAAGAGACCCACCTCCCCACCAGCAGCCGTTTTCACTTCTGCCATACTGGAGAGGAATCTTATGTCTCGAGCTTCATTCTGAACACACTGAACTTGAGCCTCCTGTCTGCCTTCCAATGCACAGGAAGTAACTACACCTATGCCCTTTGGGGTAAGGGCATGGTGTTACTGGCAGGGGACTTGAAGCTGCCACTTTAAACTTCCAGGGCTTTTCGATGGTCCTGCACTGCTATTCAAAAGATTCTGCTCAACCCATCTAAGTAGCCCATCAGAGTGTTCCACCAAACAAACAAAACAAAACAAAAAACAAAAAAAAAGAAAAAACAAAGATTAGGGAGACAGGAATTTCAGAGGAACTGACCACCCGTGTCATCCAGACATCAGAAAAGCTTGATCTGTAAAAGGGCTCATTCTAAATAACCTGCCCTATAAAAGATGGGAAAGGGTCCTATGGTAAATTCCTCAAGGCTGCCATAGCAAGCAACAGTATGGCGCAAATAAAAACATGGGCATTGGAGAAGACCATGTGGGTGCCAATCCTGGCTCTGCCATACAAAAGCTGGAAGTGTTATAAAAATTCTTATTCTGCCGGAGGGGTCTGACATCCTTTTGAGAAGCCAGCATTTTTTAGCCCATTTGAATATAGACATGTGCTGCCTCCACTTTGAGTGGCAGTTGGCTACTGTAAGCGTGGCCATGTAATTGGAAATTGTGCAAACAATCCTGAAGCTCTAGAGAATATTTGTTATTGTTCTATGACCTTTAAATTTTCCTGCCAAAACATCACTCTTATCACTACTTACGCTTCTATAGAAAAGCAAATAATAAATATTTCCATACACAATAATTTAAAACAGTTCATATATTTTTAAAAGATTTACTTATTTATTTTATATTTATTGAGCTCTACATTTTTCTCTGCTCCTCTCCCTGCCTCTGCCCTCCCTCCTTCAGCCCTCCCCCAAGGTCCCCATGCTCCCAATTTACTCAGGAGATCTTGTCTTTTTATACTTTCTACTTCCCATGTAGATGAGATCTATGTAAGTCTCTCTTAGTGTCCTTGTTGTTGTCTAAGTTCTCTGGGACTGTGGTTTGTAGGCTGGCTTTCTTTGCTTTATGTTTAAAAACCACCTATGAGTGAGTACATGTGATAATTGTCTTTCTGTGTCAAAACAGTTCATATCTTAAAGTGATTTCTCTTTGTCTTCTTTTTTCTCTTTTTTTTTTGTGTGTGTGTGTGTTTGCTTTGAGACAGGGTTTTTCTGTGTAGGCCTGGCTATCCTGGTACTCACTCTGTAGACCAGGCTGGCCTCAAACACAGAGACTCACCTGCCTCTGCCTCTTGAGAGCTGGGGTTAGAGGTGTGTGAGCATTGCCAGGCCCAAGCAAGGTTCTTAAGCTGGGCCTGGTGGTGCAGTCTCATAAGCCCAGTACTGTCAGGCGAATGCAAGGTTCAAGCCAGCCTGAGCTTATAACTTGAATCTTTCCTCTTTTTAGAAAAAAAAATTATCAAAAATATTTGATCATTGCTTTCTTCCTTCTCTTCCATTCTTTAATTTGTTAATTTTAAAAAGCCTTATCATTTTAATTGTTTGCATAGGAATGTGCTATACGTTTAACTTGTTAATTTTTAATGTGTGTGTGTGTGTGTGTGTGTGTGTGTGTGTGCACCATTGTGCTTCAGTGCCATTGTGGAGGTCAGAGGACAATGTGAGAGTTGGTTCTCTCCTTCTACCATGTGGGGTCCAGGGCTCAAACGCAGGTTGTCAGACTTAGCTGTAAGTGCCTCTTCCTGCTGAGCCATCTCATTGGCGTGTTCTCTTTTCCTATTGAGCATCATTTTCTCTGCAAAATAAAAACCCTCAACCCATTCAAAGTAGCTACTCATTAACAAAGGAAATAGCCAATAGCAGCTGCTGATTCTTCCATTTCCTCTTACCAAAGGAAATAGCCAATAGCAGCTGCTGATTTTTCCATCTCCTCTTAGATCAATTGGAAAACTGTAATGATTAAGTGACTCAACACTTGCCAAGCGTTTTTCAGTGTCCTGCTCATTATTATTTAAATGGTAGAGTAATAGAATGAGTTAACAGAATGCTAACGAACTGAAGGAGTTCAAGTCTGAAATTTCTATAGTTGCTAGAAATAAAAGGTTGTGTGTAAATCAAGGGGGAAATATTATCACATCTGAAGAAAGCTATGGCCTTTCTCCTCTTGAGAGTGTATGTGAGGGCTTCCGAGGCCCCTCAGGGGCTAAGAGTGTTGGCTGCTTGCAGAATGCCTATGTTTAGTTCCTAGCGCCTGGATCAGGCAACGCACAAATGCTTGTACCTCTAGCTCCACAGCTCCCGGTGACCTCTTCTGGCCTCCTCAAGCACCTGCACACTCGTGTGTGTACACACATGCAAACACACTTAAAGTAAAATCTTATTTTAAAAAGTATATGTGAAGTGAGGTGGTAGTGTAGCACACCTTTAATCCCAGCACTTGGGAAACAGAGGCAGGTGGATCTCTGAGTTTAAGGTCAGCCTGGCCTACAGAGTGAGTTCCAGGACAGTCAGGGCTGTTACATAGACGAAACCCTGACATCCAATTCACTTTTGTGAATATTGAGTTCCAGTGTGAGGTAAAACCCACCCAGTCTTAGCAAGTCCCTTAAACTTCTGCCACTTTCTACATAAGGGCAAAGCTTGGAGTGTGTCTTCTGCTACTGGAAAATGGATTTGATGATAATGATACAAGCTTCTTCAACTTGACTTCTGGAACTACCACCATTCCTCAGCTCCTCCCCATGAGCCGAGCTGATGAAACATGACCAAAAGACCCAGTGCACTGTTGTTGAAAAGCAGCTCGGCCAGGAAAAGGCATTGCATTATCCTGCACAGGACACAGCCCATCGCTGGACCCGGATGACTGAGTGGCACCCGAGCCTGCTGCTGGGGCTTGCTGCTCTGGCTATTGTCTTTCTCCATCCCATTCTTTTTGTTTCTCCTCTCTTTATTCTCCCTCTCCTATCCCCCACCCCACCCCATCTTTCGTGATGACCGCAGGAACATTGTTTAACCAATCTGGGGTTCTAGTTCCAGATCCCCATTAAAGCCACCAATAAGAGACTGTCAAGTGTAACACATCTTGAATCTCACAGACACCCCAGTGAAGACTCCTGGAACACTTTGATGCTGTCTAAGAAATGCATTCTTTCTGTAGAAATGTACGATCTGGGGAAGTGATTTTGATCAAGGGAAAGAATTGGGACATTGCTTGCGTTGCTTTAATTTTAACTCCTTATTTTTATATTTATATATTTACATTGTGTGTGTGTGTGTGTGTGTACACGTTTATACGCATGCATGTGAGTCCTTGGAGGCTGAACTCGGGTTGTTAGACTCAGTGGTTGGAGCCTTTATCTGCGCTTGATTTGTTTTATTAATTGTATTTGCTGTAAAGCAAGGGAATTGCCTAAGGAGAAGCTACTGTTGAAGTAACAGTGTTTGTTCCTCTGGAGTCGACTCTCAAGTGAGCTTGCACGTCACTCTACCCACTCAAGGGCAGGATGATAAGGTTCTGTCAGACCAACTGTTGAACAGAACCTGCGTCTACCAAGGTCATCCTTGTTTTGACTTGTAACCACAAATTTGTCTTGTCTAAGTGTCCAATCGCTATAAAACAAAGGGCCCAGCCCTCCATTCCGACACCCTCCGAAGAGGCAGGAGCCAGAGCCAAGCCGGTTGATTTGTTTCCTAACCTCACTCCCGCTTCGTTCCTATAGAGCTCTGAATTTTGTTCTTCTGAGGCCAGTTATCACAAGATGTTCCTGGAAATGCTGAACCCCATGCACTATAATGTCACCAACATGGTCCCGGAAGCTATGCCGGTCAGCGCCATGCCCCTGCTGCTGATCATGGGCCTCCTCTTCTTGATATGGAACTGTGAGAGCACATCTTCCATACCAGGTGAGCCTCTGCTTTAGTTCTATACATAAGGAGAATGTTCCAGTGGGTTTTTTGGTCCACGGCAGCAAAAATATTTTTTTGTAACAAGACAAAGAGCAAACGTTGGAAGGTTTCTGGAGACACAGCTGCGCCAGCAAGGGAGCACTAAATGGATACTCTGCACGCAGCAGGCGAGCGCATCACAAGCTGTGCGGATGCTCCCAGGCTGCATACTGCTTTGGCACAGACAGTACCTAAGAGGCAAGCTTGAGATGGAGTGGAGCAAGGTAAAATGCTCGAGATTTTTATTAACAAAAGAAAGAAGAAATAAAAAAAAAAGAAAAGAAACAGATTCAAATTCATTCCCGTCTGCTCTGCGGGTGGAAGTGTCTCTGGGCTGCCCTCCCTTCTGTCTTCTCCCTTCTACTTTGCCTCAACCACACCTTCTCCCTTGCATTTCCTCTTTCTCTTAATCTTATTCTTCACGTTCTCTTATTGGCAGCATAGTGACAGGGACAGTGGTGTCACCATAAGGGTTGAATGGGAGCTGTGTAGTGGGAGAAGAGTAGGGGCTGCCACCCTTCTCTGGGAGCATCACACCCTGATGGAGTTGCCAAGATGGTCTTGTGTCAATCAAAAGTAGAGACCGACATAATTGTTCTGATCATCCCTGTGAAGCATTTTGCCACTGCTGATGAAATGATCAATTATCAGATGAATTCAGAATAAACAGAAATTCCAGATAATGTCTCTAAATTCAGGTGTGAATGCCTCATGCTTATTGCTAGTTTCTAACCCCATAAGATATCCAACAAGGCTTGTTTCAATGCCATAGTAACCGCCCATTCACAAACACGCCAGAGCTCTGCGCAGGGCAATTGAAAGTGGCAGCTGGGCTGGGGAGAGCAGGCGCACAATGCTGTGTCTGGATTCTTTTTGAAGCTTTCCAGATACTTGCCAGCCTCTCAGATCCAGCCTTGCCCTTTAGGTTCCTTTAATTTCTAATTTAACTGAGCACTGAGTTGAGTTTGTTCTCTTCCCCCTGGTGGGGTCAACTTTGGGGGAGGAGGTCTAGGAGCTGAAGGCAACTCCTCCATGGCTTTGGCTTGGATACCCCTGCCACAGATTTCCTTTCCTCTGGCCAGCTCCTTGATCAGGGTAAATGAGTAGTTGAGGTTGAGATTGAGGGTGGGGTACAATAGAATACTTTTTTCCTTCTCTTCCCTGTCGTAGGCTCAGGTGCTAAAGTCCAAGCCACCTGCCTTATAAGAGCATCTTGCAAACGGAAGAGAGGGCGACACTCCATCTGTCAAGGAAGCCCCAAACTCTCTAATTTTAGTATAAGAACAACCTGGAAGGTGGGAGTTTGCTAGCCAATCCTCAAGCCCTTTCCCAGAGTGTTTAAACTGCAATGACCCTAAACATGTTCTCGCTATGTAGCTCTGGCTATCTCTCTGGCCTGGAGCTGGTTGTGTAATGTAGACCACGTCCGTGTTGAATTTAAAGAGATCCGCCAGCCTCTGCTTCCTGGGTGCACTTTGAGAAGAAGTGGAGTGAGAACTGACATCCCCCAGGCTTAAGTCAGGAAGCTCGGTGGCACTTATTTGTGCCTACCGCTTCTGGGCCAGGGATATGGTACTGTCTGTCACCAGTGGCAACCACCTGGACAGTACAGTAATCCTCAGCTCTGTCTGAGGATGGGCCTCTGGGTTGATACTCTAAAACCTTACTTGGCGGTGTTTCTTGAACAGCGGAGGTTGAGAGCTGCAGAGATAAGTCCAACTCTTCCATGTGACAGAAGGGGAAAGCCCCCTGAGAGATGCTGTGTTGCCAGGCAACATGTTATGACAGTAAGAGAAGCCAGAAAGTCCAAACAAAATAAAGGGTTAATTAAATTCCGGAGGAGGGAAATGACTTGCTGATGCCCACGTAGAAGGAAAATAGAAGCCCCTGCAGAGGACCAGGAGTCCCTAGTCTTGGCTGTGTGTTCCCACCTACGTCCATGCTTTGTTTTGGAAATAAGAGGTCTGGTCAGTTCTTCAGGGGCATAGCCCAGGATTCGCTGGCTCCTGTCAGGCATAGGAAAGTGGCCGTTCCCCCAGCGCTTTCTGTCATTGCTCTTGAATCATGGCTCTCTGGGCTCTTGGAGTCACAAGTTTTAGGGTACCTCTGGGTCCTCAAAAGCCTAAGGGAATTCAAAAGGTGTCGTGGTTAAAAGCCCCCATTAATAAGTTTCAGTTAAGGCAGCTTCCTGCTCTGTCAGGTGATGTTGGTGACAGTGGACTCGAGGAGGAGTGATTTGATTCAGTGTGTGATGGCTCGGGGACTCAGGTGTAAGCTGCTCCCTTTATGCCTGCTGAGAAGTCTGTCTAGACCTGGTGCTTGGAGGCAAGGAATGTGCAAAGAGCATAGTTGTGTGTTCTGACCTGGAAAGTGGCCAAGATGGGCTGATATGGAGGGGGAGGAGACTGCAAGAGTTGGGGAGTAAAGATTCCTACAGGAAGTGGTGTCCCTTCAATTCTGATAAATATGTGTGTGTCAAGAACAACGGTCCGAAGTTCATATGCATGTACCTTGTTTATTTGAAGACATTTACTGAGCATCTGTGTTGTATTAAATTACTAAATGGTATTTTGTTTACAACACATATTTAATAGATTAAAAGTTGATGTATCTGATATTTCGAAGAAATATATATTAAATCAAATCTGCTTGTTTACATATTTGAAAAAACATAAGGTAGTTATTTTACTAGTATGTCAGTCATGATATAATGTAGTGCTAGTAGAGTTAGAAGACTGAAAACCTTTGGTTCACAATTATCACATGTACTCACTCAGAAGTGGTTTTTAAACATAAGGCAAAGAAAACCAACCCACAAGCCACAATCCCAGAGAACCTAGACAACAATGGAGGACCCTAAACGAGACATACATGGATCTAATCTACATAAGAAGTAGAAAAGGACAAGATCTCCTGAGTAAATTGGGAGCCCATGGGAAAAGGTTGAAAAGGAAGGGTGAGGAAGGGAGGGGAGCAGAGAAAAATGTCAAGCTCAATAAAATCAAAAAAAAAAAAGGAAAGAAAACTTTTGGTTCTGTTGATCTTTTGTTTGAAAGATCTTATCTTCCAAAAAGGGAGAAGAGGGCCGATAATTCTGTTAATAGGAACTCAAACACTGTTTGCCTAATTTGAGAGTAAACTTCCAGCTGAGATGATCCAGCTGAGAGTTCGCACATCTAGGTTATCACATAACTCTTGTTGGCTCATGCAACAAGACATGTTAGGCTTTATAACAATTTCACTGACAACATGGAATTTTAAAAAAGATTTAGGAAAATTACTTTACATGACAGTTTTTAAGTACTGAATTATTTTTATCAAACTTTTTACCAACCACTAGTAAAATAAACTCTACCGGGTTTGATCGGAATCTCGACAGTTGGGAAACTGAGGCAGGAGAATCTTGATGTTCAAGGACACCTTGAGCTAAATCATTTAACCTTGTCTCAAAAAAGTCAACAAAGTATAATGGCACATGCCTGTAAAAAGGTTGGGAATACAATGAAACCTATTACTTTGCATGCTCACCTAAAAATCTAGCAGAATGAATTCAAGCTACAAGTTCATTTTGTGACATGAACCACAGAGTTCTCCCCCCACCCC